TATAACGTTCTGCCCGCTTCTTGATGTTAACGACGTGAAAGTGCTATGTGGGCCGCCGGTGCGCTGTTGGGAATAAAACCGAAAGCGGCGAATTAGTTAGTGCTTGTCTCCGAGGTCAAGAAGGACACCATTGTTTTTGTCTTGTAAAACCAGCTTCGTACTTAAGCAGGGGCTAGTAGAAAAAGCTTAGCAAAACGCTTGTATAGACTTCGTGTTTAATGAACACTATGGACAAGCAGTCTTCTAGTGGGAGGATAGTTCCATTTTGCACCAGTTTGTCACCCTTGTACGACTGTAGTTGGCGGGAAAGCTTTTGGTTAGCCGCGCATGCCGTGGTAAAAGTTATGCTGTTTCTTCTTCTGGCACACTTATTTGTTACGGCGTACTTCATACCGTTTGACCTGTTTACAGGGGCAAAGTAGCCTCTTAAGAACACTGGCGAAAGCCATCTAACACTAGCCTTTTCATCTGGTCCGCCAAGCAGTTGCTTACGCAAAAGGAATCGATTTACAATTAGAAATAAAAGGCCCACTAAGTGCGATGTAGTCTATGCTTTCAGAAGCTCCGTAGACGCAGATTATAAGAGTTTTACAACCGCAACTGACAAACTAACCAAAGGTGCTAGGTAGCAGCAGACTAACCGTATCAAGTCAGCGCGCATATAGAAACCAGAATAGGACAACCAAGGAGCGGACATGTGAGGTGGACAAAATTCGTTGTGGTTGCGGCTCGCTTGCTGCATCAAAGTAAAAGCCTACAGTGACCAAAAGAGAACCAGTTAGTTAAGCACACTTAGGCAGATCATAATTGTCAATGTGGAAACAGGTTAACCACATCGAAGTAACATGATTGCGGGACGAAGGAAAACCAACCGAATAGCGTTTACTGTAAGACCAAAGTTAATAATGTGGTAACAGACTTGGCGCATGGACGTGACCGCTACTTTGACCAGAATAGAAATATTCGTAAGTTGTTTCATTCAAGCGGACCATCATGACTCAGTTTGCGCTAGGCTTAATGGACCAAGCATCCGTAACACTAACCAGAATACGACAAAGCAGTAGTGGCTTCATGTATGCAGACTACCACGACAGGTTGCGCCTGGGTAACTTGACCTTAAAAGCCTCAAATGGACACCAGCAAGCCAAGCATGGGTGGCTTCGGACTAGGGGTCTATTCTGACACAGTTTGCGATAGAATTGCTGACCCTAGCATGCCTCATTTGGAGACCGAGACAGAACGTGCCAGAGCTGGCTTCAGTCAAATCGACTATAATACATAAGGTTGCGCTTTATCTAGTAAACCTCATCTAGAGACCCAAAAATTAATAAGAAGTGTTAGCTTTGTACACCTAGAATATCTAAACACAGGCTGCTTTCAGCATATTTTTCCCTTATATTACCTTTTGGGGACTAGTCTAAGTCAAACTAGCAGTGAATTCAGTTAGGTTGATCAGTTTGACTCAGGTTGCCTAATGGAAATCAAAAGCCTCGTAGGGGACTCAGTATAAAATAAGCCATGGGTGGTTACAGTAATATGGATAATCGTTAATCAGGTTGCGCTGTGTTGCCTCTATGTAAAAACCTGGGCTAGAGAATGGATTGTAACAAATAGAATTTGGCTATTTCTCCTTAGACCACGTTCAGTGTTATTTCCATAACTGCATAGGGCGAGCGTTATCTAAAGGTCGTGATGGAGGCCCATGCAATGGAAGTGGTAGTGTGTAGCAGTCTGGAGATTCCACGGTTTGCTCGTTGAAACGTTCTATAAAAGGTTGTGAAGCTTGAGGTAGGACACGAATGGTAGTGATAGCAGCCACGTTGGCGCTAGTCCCGATAACACTGAGTAGTGTCCTAGAGTCGATAAGCTTCTTCTTTTTAGCGTCGACGATGAGGTCGAAGCGTTGCAGAAAGTCTATGCCTATGATGGCGAAAGACACAGCAGCGATTATGAAAGGACAGCGAAAGGTTCGCCGGAGGCCTAAATTGAGTGTTTCAGAGGGTTGCCTCTACCGGGAGCCCAGAGAGCGATTCGAGAAGACGGATCGATTTGCAGGGAAACTTTTATTGGTACAGTAAAAGCTTCCCTGTGACCTAGCTATAAAAGAACGACACCGTGGACGCCCTAGCTAGGGGAAAAAGGGCGAGCACAGCCCACAGGGCAGTTGCGAGTTGCAACCGAAACGAGCGCCAAGCAAAATATGGCGATGAGCAAGTAAAGCATTCGAAATCAGTAAGCAGTTCAACAAACCACACCGGTTGCCTAGGTGTACAATGAACGAATTTTAGTTAGAATTTTACACAGGCAAACCGGGGAATCTCCAGACTGCTACCTAGCCCTCTCCCCATCCCGCAGCTAATGGGATGGTAGAAAGGTTTCACCGGCAACTCAAAGCCTCGCTCTGTGACCAATATAGCACATCCTGGCACGAAGCACTTCCGCTCGTTCTCTTAGGCATAAGAAACACGATTAAAGCGGACTTGCACACCACTCCATCGTCGCTAGTCTTTGGATGCACACCACGCTTACCTTGTGAACTCTTCTCACCAAAAGCGCCAACAAACTTTGACTATGGTGACTACGCAGCTCGCTTATCTCATCACATGCAACATCTTCAGCCTGTGCAACCCAGAGCACAGAGCTTGCGTACCAACGTGGACGCACGCTTAACTACTTGCACGCACGTGTTCGTTCGCACTGACAGCGTACGTCGGCCACTTCACCCTCCTTATTCTGGTCTGTACCGTGTCGCACGCAGAAGCGACAAGACGTTTAACATTGACTACAATGGTAAAACTGAGTCGATCAACGTCGATCGACTCAAGCCAGCATACCTTGACAAGTCTGACTCGCCGGTGCAACAAGCACCTTCACAGCCTGTGCCATCACAGCTGTTACCGCAACCTCAGACGAGTCAGCCCGCTCCAGCAGAACCGACAACATCAACCGACCGCACTCCTACTCTCCCTACTATCGATCGACGCGGTAGGAAACTCAAATCTCCAGTTCAATTATCAGACTTCGTTAATACTCACTATTTTTCGTAGAACGTGCCTTAGAAATTTTCTGCTCTTACCAAACGTTTTTGAAAATCCATAGAAAAGACCATAACGTTTTGAAACTACTAAAAAAGAGTAAAAGCTTTTGAAAATCCAGAAACATCTTCGCACGTTTTTCGCTTTGCACTCTTTTGTGTATTGCTTTGCATTTATGCTGCTTTTTCATTTTGCTTTCCATATACACCGTCTGTTGGTTGCACTTCGGTTTCAACTTCCCGCTGGATCTCTGCACGTCAACTGCAAGTGGAACGAACTTCCTGTTCAACCGCCTACGTGAACTTTACTAACTGTACCCCCACAAACAGTTTTTTACCGTTTCGACACAGTAGGAAGGACACGGGTGGGAGCACGCTAGGGTCCGATTGCATGGTTCTCCTCCAGCAGCTGCATCAGGTTTCACAACCTGGTCTCGTAGAAGGCTGGCCCGCGACGGACAGTCCTCACGTAGATCGAAGGACTGCTTACACAGTCCCTTCTGGGAGAGGGCTATGTAGCAGTCTGGAGATTCCCCGGTTTGCCTGTGTAAAATTCTAACCAAAATTCTATAATTGTACACCTGGGCAACCGGTGTGGTTTGTTGAACTGCTTGCTGAGTTCGAATGCTTTACTTGCTCATCGCCATATTTTGCTTGGCGCTCGTTTCGGTTGCAACGCGCAACTGCCCTGTGTGCTGTGCTTGATCCGTTCCCCTAGCTAGAGCGTCCACGGTGTCGTTCTTTTATAGCTAGGTAACAGGGAATCTTTTACTGCACCAATAAAAGTTTCCCTGCAACTCGATCCGTCTTCTCGAATCGCTCTCTGGGCTCCCGGTACAGGCAACCCTCTAAAAGTGTCACTCATGGTTGGAGCACCTGGCAAGCTGCATGGTAGTAGCTTATTCTGGATTGCAAAATTAATATTCAAAAGCTCCAGACCGTAGTGCAAACCTCAGCGAATGTTGTAAAGCTGGACATAACTTATCTAATTAGTCTTAGCACTTTAGCTTGCAAACCTAGATCCCAGCTGATTACCACCGTGCAAGTGACATTTAATTACATTATGCTATGCTTCCTTCTTGATGCATGGCTAGAATCTTTAGCTTTAACCACAGCTCATAAATAGCATTGATAATGGACTACTGTCAAATGAGATACATTTATTGGGGTTGTGCTACACTTTCTGTGTCGAAGTGGTTTTATCTGAGGAGCAATGCAAAATGACAGCAACCTCCTGCCATTCGTCAACCTGACAGTACACAAGAATTTTAAATGATAGCAGAAATAATATCAATAAAGCAAAATTTACAAAAAAAATAATTTAATTTTCTAAATTTAAAGCGGAATGCTATATATAGGTCATTTCAAATTTCAGTACCAACAAAGATTTGCAGTTTTATATCGCCTATTATCCGCCTACCGACCTAGAAATTTATTCGTAAATTCTTTACCCCTTCAAGGGTGGGTGTTATCACAACGTTTAGCCGAAGTTTTGCGCTGAGGGACTATACTGGGTCGACATATGGCCTTTAGTTGACACGGTATAAATTCATTCATCTTTATACTGAGGAAGCAGCAGTAGAGAATGCATGTTGTTATAAGTAAATGTGCGGATGCACATTTATTTCCTACGTTGTGGCATTTTGCACTTTCAAAACAATTTGTGATTAGCATTTGATTTTAATGGAATACTATTCTCTTCTATTTGATGAAAATATTGCATGAAATAACCACGGCATTATACGTGCCGCACATTAATGTCATGTTGCAAATGAACTATAAGCTTGTGTGCACGTTAATGTATTTAAAGGCAGTGTGGTATAATAATGCTTATTACGTTTGCACGCCACCTTATTATTTGGAAATTTAAACGGTAATGATTTGCTTGTAAGTATAAGAACTATGAGCTTCTTATGCGGAAGCCAGAGTCATCGTTTTACACCACATAGTCACTTATTTGCTAATCGCAGACGTTTGTAGTCTTAGTCCGCAATCGCTACTAATTGCTAGCACAAGCTGTTGCGATCCGCATGTGTGAGTTTGGATTTTCTGAGGGTTTAGCGACTGTTGCTAATACGATGTTATAATTTCATGGGGATAACCAAACGTTTTAGTCGTATATTTAGGTAACTTGATTTTTGGCGTGCCATATTGACCGAGCTTTTTAGCTGCATATTGTGGAAAACAGTGTTTGAATAAACACTTATAACGGAATTTGACTTTTGTCAAATTTCTTTTGATCCAAAATATCTTGGATCGATTAAAGCGGTTCTGGTTGAAGCGTCTTTGGCGCTTACTGGTAATTTTTCCGGTTTTTCCCCAGTGGTAATCCTTTTTTGCACTCAGGTTTTGCCTTCTAATTGAGGTCATTTAACTGTTGTATACGTGTTTTAATTCCACTCTGTTTTCCACTATGTCGGTCTCGCAACGCATCGAGGCTGTTTTTCCTGGTGTTTTAGCTTCTGAGGTTATCGCATTTTGTGGCAGTTCAAGCTGCAATATACCAGTAACTGACGATTCCAGCGGTATGCCGTGCGATGTCTGCAACCGATGGTACCACCAGCTTTGTACGGACCTAAATACCAAGCAGTACGCAGCATTGGCCTCCAGCGAAATGTTGCTTTTCATTTGTGCCAATTGCTGCAGCCGCCAGTAAGGCCGCGCGGCCTTTCGTACGAGAGACGAATATCTTGATACCCGGCTGCGAAATGTAGAGTGTTCGCTCTCGATGTTCTTAGATCTTCGTCTTATGATTGATCTGCTCATGACGACGCTTCCGGTCTCCAACAACAGATTTGATCACTTACACTGGAGATCAACTTGTGGCACCAATCATGTCACCCATCCAGATGACTACCGACAACAAAATGAAGCTGCTTCGGACGTCCTATCTAAAGCTACCCTGATCGACGCCGAATTGCTGGTTCAAGGGTCCCTTCGAGTAAAGCGAAAGAGAACCAGGAAACCCCGAAGCTCTGTTAAACAAGAAGTTATAGTTGTCTCGGCACCGGAAACAAGCCAAGTCTCGTTACTTGTCAGACCGTCTGACGGTTGGGCGAAGTGATGATTCCAACACGCACTACCTGTCAGCCGAAGTTGCCGGATATCTCGGTTCTCACCAAGAAGGCGTTTTGTAGGTTTACTTGACTCTGCTCAAAGCGAAAAATCGTCACGGGACCCTGCTCCCGTTATCAAGAAGAAATAGCAGACCATATCTGCCATAAAGCCTTTCGGTGGAATCGATGATCCGAAAAGAAGTAAGACATCGACAATGGAGCAAAAAACGCTGCCGTTGCTACGTCGGAGGGGCTAAAGACAGTCCCATCACCACTGGTGGAGCCACCTGCTCCAAGTAGCGATTCAAAGACCCGTGGGTTAATACACCCCGTCGTGGTGATTCTTTCACGGATAGTAGCGTTATATTCCGTAACGCGGCTGAATCTACTGCTGTCCTTTCTGCTGATCGCATGTTGGACGACCTTCAATGGTTTAAAATGTGCGTAACAAAGCATTTTCCGCCTGGTTTTCCAGGTGTTACTGTCAGGAAGCTGATTAGACTGGGGAACGTCCCAGTTAATGTACCAAAACCTCGACCGCGGCTACTTCGTGTGGTACTCTCTACCCCGGAAGAACGCAACGCTCTCATGCGGTTTGCTTTTAAGCTGAAAGGTACAAATATTAGCGTTCAGCCGGACTTTCGCTGGCCGATAGGCTGAAGCTAAGGGAGGCGATCAAGGAACTCAGAAACATGTGTGCGGTCGGTGAACAAAGTCTCCGGTTACTGGGTTTTCAGGTGGTCAGCCGGCGGTCCTTTTCCGCCCTACCACTGCCAATTCTAGTAACGCACGACCCAGGTCTAGATCTAACGAATACCTTCAGATAGTGCTAAGTAATGTGCGCAGCCTAAGGAATAAGGCGAACAAGTTAGGTCTGCTTGTAGATGGGTCTCACCCCGATGTACTCGCATTCACTGAAACGTGGCTGTCTCGGGACATCACGGATGGTGAAGTACATCTATCTGGCTACGCACAGTTTAGATGCGATCGCTCCGCTGGCCGGCAGGGAGGGGGCGTCGCTTTTTATGTGAGCTGTAAACTTGACGTTTGGAAGACTTGCGTATTTCAGTCAGCGGACAAAACTGTTGAAGCTCTATCGGCTGTTATTAGCACATTCTCGGCTCAGCTTACAGTTGTAAATGTGTATAGAAGCCCTGGGAGCCTATCCAAAGCGGTACTTAACTTCATTCGCTCCTAGTCCGCAAACAAGTGTGGTGATGGGCGTCTTCAACCTCCCAGAGGTTTGCTGGACGGATCTTTCTTGCGACTCAGCGTCAAGCACATTCGGCGCTGATTTGCTTGAGTTTACACTCCAAGTATCTTTGCATCAGTTCCTTGACCTCCCCACTAGGTACATGGACGTCCAAGTACCGTCTATCTTACACCTTGTATTTGCTGTCACTCGATTTTGTTGGTGACATTACTTACGAACCTCCCCTGGGTTCCAGTGATCATGTTTGTCTGCTCTTCAGTTATACTCTGTCTAGACGCTACCAGGGTACTGTTGAGTCTCGCCTAAGTATATGGCACGCAGACTATCAAACAATGAGAGCCAAGGCTTCGGGTTTGCATTGTGAGATCTCAGACGACGATACTGTCGAGATTGCCTGGGATAAGTTTAAGTCCTACCTCACAGAGGTCTCTGCTCCCTTCATCCCAGTCAGAAGGAGAAAGGAGGCACGAGCACAGCCGCCCTGGATAAATCCCACTGGCAGGCATTTGCTCACAAAGAGGTCTAGATGTTGGCGGACTTACCGAGATGCTCCGTCCACCTATACTTATGACAGGTACCGTAAGGCTAGAAATAGGTGTAAGCAACACCTAAGGGATGCTCGGCTCAATTTCGAGAAAGGATTAGCGGACGAAGCTTCAGAGAATCCAAAAAGATTCTTCGCTTATGTCAAAAGGCGCTGTGGTTCGAACATGTCAATTCCAGTATTGATGCGTGATGACGGTACTCATGCGCATACGGACTATGACAAGGCCTGCGTACTTAGTGGGCAATATGCGGCAGCGTTTGTAAGGGAAGCCTCTTTGACAGGCGTTGAGCTGGTTTGCAGTATCCCCGAGGGTTCAGGACTATCTAAATTTATTGTAGCGGAGACCGAAGTTCATAGGCTGTTACAAGGGCTGAACCCTTCTAAGGCCTCTGGGCTTGGTTCATTTCACCCGAAACTGTTGCATGGGTTGGCTGCGGAACTAAGTGGACCGCTCGCTATGATGTTTCAGACATCGCTTGACAGCTGTGCATTGCCTTCCGAATGGAAGAAAGCTGTCATTTGTCCCATCTTCAAAAATGGGGACAGGAGTCTGTGTGCAAATTACAGGCCAGTTAGCCGCACGAGTGTAGTAGTCAAACTCAAGAAACTGGTGAGAGATTCATTGGAAAGTCATCTGAGTAGATTTAATCTACTTAGCAATGTACAACACGGATTCCGGAAGGGATTTCCGTGTCTGACGAATCTACTGGGGGCTCGCGAAAGTTTGGCGGATGCAGTGGATACCGGCCACGTACTGGAAGTACTTTTCGTCGACTTTTCGAAGATATTTGACAAGGTAATCCATTTTAGGCTCGTGCAATAGCTGACCTCCTTACGGGGTATCTGGCCGCACCCTTCATTGGGTGATTGCCTTCTTGGAGGGTCGAGAACAGTGTGTACGGGTAGGCCGGGGTTTATCGTTTTGGCAGTCTGTGCTCAGTGGCGTGCCACAGGGCTCGGTCCTTGGACCGCTGCTGTTCTCTATGTGAATGACCTATCCGCGGAGCTTGAGATACCATCGCTGCTATTTGCTGATGACCTGAAGCTGTGGAACATTGTCGATGTTTCTGGGGGTTTCGAAGCTATTCAGCGAGCCTTGGATAAGCTTTGGGACTGGTCTACTTTATGCTTACTGCCCATAAATCAGGCAAAGTGCTCCGTTCTTCGAATTAGAGAAGGTTGTCCTCCTACGAATTACTTAGTCGGTGGAGTCGAACTCTCCCGTGTATGTAGCCAGATTAACCTAGGCGTCGTACACTCTTCTGCTTTACACTCCTGCGACAACTGGAAGAAGGCCGCAAGCAGAGGTTTCCGCATGTTGTGGTTAATACGACGTTCTTTCGGAGTCTTGACGGGCGGCATGTTTACGAAACTTTTGTCGGCTTTCGTTCGGCCTCATCTGGAATACTACGTCGAGGCTTGTCCACCCTGCCTCCTCAGGGATAAAATGGATCTAGAGACGGTTTTACGGGTGGGTACTAGATTAGTCGAGGGGTTACGGGGACGGACGTACCCCGAGAGTCTATTTAGTTTGGGAATGCATTCAATGCACTACCGAAGGCTTGGAAGAGACCTAATCCTAACCTACCGTATCTTAACTGGGAAGGTTGGTCCAGATTTATCATCATATCATTATACACATCAGCTAGAGGTGGGAAAACACCTCCGCCATTGTGCCGCAATACATGAAGGAAAAACATACATACGTATCATATAATACACAAACGAAAAATAGATACAACAGTTGCATGCCAGCTGAGCTACCAGCAACGGATAGGCATCGTCCCGGTAAGCTACCAGCCAGCTACTAGGCAAAAAGAAAATTTTTTATTATGTTTTACCCTACGAAATGGGATCGTAGATGGAGGGGAAGGCTAAAAGGGATGGGGAGGGACAAAGAAACTCCCAGCAGGAACGCCATTGAGGTCGGCTTCTTGCCATGTCAGCAAGTGTATCCAGCCAAACGTGTTCACCGTCTTTTGGACCCCAGCCAGGGAGCCGTGACGCTCCAACCGAGGCTAGCTCCGAAGTGAGGGACTTCGTTCCCCTGGACCAAGTCATCGCTTGGCCACCTCTCCTCTTCTTCCACCCACATCCCCGGTGAGCAAACAACGCACATCGAGGGAGTCGGTGAGCTGGCATGCGTAACACGTGGCCGAGCCATCGGAGCCTGGTGCAGGAAATAACGGTGCTGAGCGGTTCATATCCTTTTCCTGGG